ATCAAGTATATGAATTCTCATGTAATTCAAATTATTTTACCTAAATCTATATAGAATCACATAAACATTTGCTTCACTCTCGTTTATCACGAAAGTAATTTTGACTCAAAAAGTAGAAAAAAAGTAAACAAATCAGGATAAAATTTTACCTACATTGCTGACCAGCTGATCCTGAAGGTTAATCAGCGGTTGGTTGACTGGTTCGACGGCGGCGGCTCCGGCTACATCATTGTTCATCGAGCATAAGAGTTAGTGATTTGTAGGAGAGAGTGATTTAAAAATATTTGGATCTTGAGAAATAATCAATTTAATCTTTTGGAATTCGAATTAATTGGTGGCTTACTATTTAGCTTTAAAACTTGTTTAGGTCAGTCCATCTTAATTTTAACAGGTTTCTAGTATGCTGTTTTTATTAAAGAATTATTATAAATTCTAATTACTCTTTTAATTAGAAAATCAGAAAGTTTGATTATTTAGTGACTCAAAAAAACTTAGTTATTAATTTGTGGTTAAAAAATCTTAGTTTAACTCTTAACATTTTCCATGTGCTAAAAAAAAGCTTAGTTTAACTCTTAACATTTTCCCTCCCCTTGAGAGGAAGGAGAAATGTAGTTTGAAAGCTGAACCAAAAGCACAATGTATTACAAGGACACAATACACAATCATCTTAGACCTACATGTTTCTTCATTACAACTGTTTGTAGCAAGTATAAGCCACAACCACTAAAGCAGCATCGCAAACAACAGCGAGAGTGGCATTTGTATCTTCTCTTACCATGTTGTTATTGCGGAAACCTTAAATGTTTAAGAAGATCCTTTGTTTCTATTTATCCTGAAGAAAGTCTTTTCGCAGTTTTTCTTCCCGGTGTAAGCTTCTCAGTGTTGTTTTCACTTTCAAGTTGATTATCTTCAGAGGTCTCTAGAGAAAAGAGCAGAGTTGTTTCTTTACAACACGAGGAGCTGTTCCCATTTTGTTGGCAACAACCATTAGGTTCTGCAGCTCTTAACCGTCGTTCTTGAGTTTTCTTCTGGTCTTCTTCTGATAAACCCATCTCACCTCTAAAAATCAGAAACAAAAATCTTTTTTTTTTACTAATTACCAAGTGATTTGTAACTGTGAGGCCAAGAAGTTTTGAACTTACCTCCATAGACTATCTAAATCTAGGAGAACAGGTACATCCTCAGTTTGCACATACCCATACCTTGACACAAGTGATATAATCATCAAGCCGATTATTCTATAACAAACCCATTGAGAATTCTCTTACTCACCAATGTCATGTGACTTTCCTGTGGACTTTTGATTGGTAGATAAAAACATTACCAGCGTATTTGTGACCACCTATGTGAGAACATGGACTAATTAACTGACATTTTACCTTGAAACCCATGAAACTCAAGCTCTTTTCTGAATCTACCAACCAACGCTGGCCCACAAACTCCACAACGTCTGTCTCGGGATCCATGGGAGAAAACAAAGACGTATGTGCCTTTTAGTAATTCAGGATGCCATTCACCATCCTTCACAAACGCCTCTTCCACAAATGTGTACACATCGAAATGAGTCAACCTTCTGCATTTTTTGTTGAAATGAAAACTCTCATAAGCAAATGTTGAAGAATAAGAGAAACTGAAACCTATACTTGGACTCTATCTGTATCTGATCATATCATGAAAGATAAGTACATCACCGTTGGATGTCTCTGTTCCATCATGTCCCTCACATATTGTGAGTCGAGTCTACAAATAGTCGAGTAACGTCCCTCATTATCTCCTTCCAATCCATCTAGATGATTCATCTAAATGGTCCATCCAGATTTTTTTGATTGTTTGTTTGTCCATCCAGATAGTACATCTAGATAGATAATCTAGATGAACTCATGTTTGTTTCTCTATTTTTCATTTCCATACAAATGAGTTTAATAAAGAAAATTACCAAAATATCTTTGTTTTGATTTAATCATATGTATGATATTTATTTTAACTATATTAACTTTTATAATTTTGGCGGGAAAACACGTTTTTGCAGTTTTGGCAGAAAAAGCGTTTTTACGTTTTGGCAGAAAACACATTTTTGCGATTCTGGCGGGAAAACGCGTTTTTGCTGTTTTGAAAAGAAAACGTGTTTTTGCGGTTTTGACAGGAAAATGTATTTTTACGATTTTGACGGGAAAATGCGTTTTTGCGGTTTTGATGGTAAAACACGTTTGCGATTTGACGGGAAAATGGATATTTGCGGTTTTGACGAAATAACGCGTTTTTGCGGTTTTGATGGAAAAATGTGTTTTTGCGGTTTTGATGGGAAAACATATTTTGCAGTTTTGACAGGAAAACACGTTTTTTATGTTTTGGTGGGAAAGCGCGTTTTTCAGCTTTTGGCGAGTAAAACACATTTTTATGACTATGGCGGGAAAACTCGTTTTTGTGGTTTTTGACAAAAAAACATATTTTTTATTTTGAAGAGAAAACATGTTTTAGCGATTTTGGCGAGAAAATTTGTTTTTACAAACAGGCCCTTAGGCACAAAGATAAAACTAAGAAGTCACACGCTAAGTCCCCATCATAAGACTATGCAAACCATTTCCACTTAAGTTCAACACTGACATAGTAAGCACATGACAAAATAGCAAAACCACTGTACATATAAATACGCGTTCTTTTGCGTTGTTTCCCATAGATTCTTGCCAAAATAGACACTTAATTAACCATTGCCCAAAAAAAAAAACACTTAATTAACCTAACCATGACAAAGCATTATTTGTGCTTTAGGCGAGATCTAAGCATTGAAGAGTATTGATATTTTATTTTATATACAAGTATTTTGTGTCTAATGATAAATTATAAAAATTAGATATACAAAAACAGAAATTAGACAAATTTATAAATTTATAGAAATACTTCACCAAGTTCCGGACACAACCGGCTCCGTAACCGGTAAAAGTTTTTTACTCTTGAGATGTCGACGACATGAAGTTTAATCAAAGGAAGCTAGGTGACACGTAGTTCTCTCGTACTCAATAGTAGGAACGGCAAGTAGTTGATGCTTTTTGATATTTACTTCTCCGTGTCAAGATTCAGAAAGAAGGGAGAGAGAGAGACACAGGCAGTGGCGGATCTTACCTTCCTGTTTAGATGTTCTTGTCTTGTTAACCAATTTGTTCTGTAGTTTATAGCTTTCCATGTTTAGCTTGGAGTATTGCTTGTAACATGTTATTCATAATCTGAGTTACAAAAAGTACTTTATTTGTCACAGCTGCAATTTTTAATTATTTTTATATCTTTATGCATATCTTTCTCAACATCCAGATACCAACATGAAAACAGCAGGGAATCAAGATATCATATTATTCATTTATTACCATTGGTCTCCTCTCTATCTGCAAGAGAGCCTCACCAATCAAAAGACAAATCCAAGGAGGCTTTTATGTTAAATGGGTATTAGACATACAAGCAACCTATTCTTTAGCTATGCAGCTTCTTCCTCTCGTCTCTACCAAACTCAAACACAACAACAAAAGATTACATCCACAGTTTTTAACTTACACATTTGCCACAATGACTACTAGGCCTCAGGCTACAGTGCCTGCGACTCAGTAAGTGATGTGAACAGAAAGGAGTTTAGGCTTTCACCTCCTCACCAGCAGCAGACCGCCCTGCTTTCTCCTCTACATCCTCTTCTTTCTTCTCCTTCTCTACATCCTCTTCTTTCTTCTCCTCCTCTACATCATCTTCTTTCTTCTCCTTCTCTATACCCTCTTTTTTTTTCTCCTTCTCTACATCCGCTTCTTTCTTCTCCTTCTCTACATCCTCTTCTTTCTTCTCCTCCTCTTCCTCTGCTTCATCTACCGTTTCTGCTAATTTGGTGAGCTCGCTTTGGATCATCCGCTTTATAGATGACTTTCTTGGAGTGAGATCTTCTTTGAACTCCTTAGCTGAAATATGGGTGAAACAATACGTTTTACATACATAACTAGAATCTAAACAGAAGTCACTGAAGAAAGAAAATAAAGAAACCAATCTGTACATACCAAGTTCTTTGATGATGTCCTTGAATGTAGCCTGCAGAAGAACAACAATGCTCTAGTAAGGTCATCTAAATATAAAAAGATAATTCACAGCTTATCTTATACAACAAACTCTAATCAGCTTTCATAAAATGCAGGATCTTTCATATAACCAATAAGTTTGTTCAGCAGAATCTCATTAACTCACCGTATTAAAGTCGACCCTTTTCAAGATCTCAACAATTGCATTTTTCAGCACTTTTTCGCTTGGCCCTTTGGTTTTATCCTTCCCTTTTCCAGCACTCTTCACTACTGGCATTAGGTACAAACACAGAAAACATTAGTGGCTGTAATATTGCTTTAGCTTCTGCAAACAGAGTCGTCAAGGGAAGAACAACAGGATAATATTCAAACCTGGTTTCTCCTTTGATGCAGACTTTGAAGGGGCTGCTGAAGCCTTGGTAACTTTTTCAGACTTCTTCCTCTTAGAAGACGCCTTTGGACTTGTATCACTATCATCATCATCATCTGTCTTCTTTCGTTTTGCTGATGATCGCTTCTGTGTGACTTTTTCAGGTGGACTGGATTTTGCAGCGACTGGCGCTTTCTTGTGTCTGGCAGCTCTCCCTGCTGATTCTTTCTTCCCAGCTGACAATTTAGAACCACGCTTCTTCTTTGTCGTTTCTTCCTCAGATTCCTCGCTTTCAGAAGGCTGAGGTGCCTCAATCTCATCCTCAGATTTATCAGGAATGCCATTTTCATTCTCTTCCTCTTCTGCAGCCTCCTCCTTCTCTTGTTTTTCTTCTTCTTCTTCCTTCTCCTCTTCAGACTCATCATCAGAATAAGATAAACTCTTCTTGACAGCCTTTTTCCCTTCTTCAGACTTTCGTTGGCTCTGCAAAAGCAGTATACATAATATTATCAGATATATTTGGACCAGTGATTGACATCTTCAGATAAGTAGTAATGAGACTCTATGCTAAGCATTGATGATACCTTTGCTGATCGTTTAGAGGATGAACTCCCAGCTGCAGGTGAGCTTTGCTTTGGAGTTCTCTTGCGTTTTGCTCCCTTGCTTGACTGTTTCAACGAAACATTATAAGTGAATGAAAGATGAACAACTAAGTTGTAAATAAACAACCTTGTCAACACCAAAATACCTTATCTTTCTCATTAGCTGGAACGTCACTTTTCACATGAGGTTTCTTCAAAAACTCAATCAGCTTTGTAATAATATCTTCCTGTGCAGAGAAAACATGCTACAATAAGTTAGCCGTATCATAAACTTGGTTACAACTCGAAATGGCTGAACAAGAGACAAGAGATTATCTATAAAACCTACACATGATGTTTATCTATTAAAGCAGGAAATAAATGAATCTACAAGAATTTAGAAATTGATAGCCCATACAGACCTTCTTTGTTGTAGCCTTGGTAATATGTATGTCAAACAAATCGCAAAACTCCCACAGTTTTTCTTTGTTACATTTGTCAAGCTTTTCTTTTATTTTTTCTTCTGCCTTTTCCTGCAAATAACAAAGACACCATTAATATACAACATTGAAGGTATACCTTAATAATGTGTGACTGCGTACCTTATTTCCATGCCAAACAAAGCCTGAGAAGCCTAATATGTTTGTCTTGATCTCAGCAGCCTGTTTAAACATTAAGAATCAATCATACATGATTAGTAGACTTGAGGGTAACATAAGAGCTGCAGAACTTGAGTCCAAACCACAGGTAAAAAACCCACAAGAGTAAGCATGTGATTGAAAATTTAGAAATATGACTCGGGGTAACAAAATAATACACTCACCTTCCCTCTCCTCGCAAATAGAATTGTGTGCAACAACCGTAAAGTTTCTTCCGACTTCTTCCTCGTTACCTTGTAAGCAACTACAGAGAAACATTAAAGATCAGTTAAACTACAAATTCGATGAACAAAAACATAATCAATAAAAGGAAGTTTAAATGTTTCTAGGGATTTTAAAATTTTGGTTAGCAGGAATATAACGAGAAAACACATTCATTTGACGATTCAAAATATCATGAACATACCGTTGGGAATATCTTTGAGATATGCACCTTGCCCCTGTAATATCCAAAAAGATGATTATGAACACATGTAGCAACGAAGTTCTATAACAACTCAGGAATGTACTGGCAAAACCTTTTCAATATGGAATTCTTTGGAAGAATCTGTATCAATCACAGCGACAAGCCTCTCAACAGATTTTCTTTCACGCACAGGGCGATCAGAGAAAAATATCTTCGGTTCTCCTGCATCCTTTTTCTCTCCCTTGCCACGCTTTTTAGAACCCTTGCTCTCTTTTTTCTCTTCTTCCTTATCATCACCGCTCTCAGTTTTTTCATCTTCCTTATCAGATCTCTCTTCTTTCTCATCTTCCTTTGCTTGTTCGCTCTCCACTTTTTCATTATCATTCTCATCCTTACTTTTTTCATCTTCTTCCTTATCTTCCTCTTCTTCAACCAAATCCTCCTCGTTCTGCTCCTTTGCATTTTCCTCCTTTTTCTTTTCATCCACAGTCTCAACATTTTCAATCTTTTCAGTCCCTTTGTCTCCACCTACCAGCTTCTCTTCCTCTTTGATGTCATCTGTCTTCCCATCTTCTGTTCCATTAGCTTTTCCACCTTCATCTTTTACACCCTTCTCTGATTCTTTCCCATCTTTCTTGTGGTCAGCTTCAGTAACATTTTCCGCTTGAGTCTCTTCCTTATTATCATCTTTGCCATTGGTTTCCTTCATTACAGTATCTTCCACCGTATCACCTCTAGAAACACCTTCAGCAGTCTGCTCTTTCTTTCCTTCTGCATCTACATCCATCTTTGACTGATCCTCATCTTTGGTCTCACCATCTATCTCCATTTTCTCTGGTTCAGCCTTCTCCTCCTCATCTTTCTTAACTTCTTGTGTCTCCTTACCTCCAGTATTCACATCCTCCTTTTTTCCTGCCACAGCCTCTGATGTCTTTTCAAGAGAAGCTGTCTCTGTTGCTGTTGGCTCAACGGTTGCCTTTGAATCTTCTTCACCCATTGTTAACACTTCTCGTTGTCTATCAAGGGCTGCTTGAGAAAATCAGTAAAAAAAGTTATCAAAACCCATGCTTCTTACCAAAAGAGTAGCAAAAAAAAAAAAAAAAAACAGTAACTCAACCTGACAAAGAACATGAAGAACACATTGACACTAAAATTAGTCAACAGTACAAGAAACCTTAAAAAAATTCACTTCAGATCTCAAGGGTGTTCCATAATCATTTTATATTCTTACTTTAGATCTGAACAAGAAGAGCAAAATTGAAAATCTAAGTCGAGATTTCCAGATTAAGAAATCAAATCTGAAATCTCAAAAAGATTCATCCTTTATCCTAACTTTCTATGAATTATGCAGGAAAACAAAGATCAAAATGGATTAATGAACGAAACTCACAGCAAATCTCTTAAGCTTACAACACACAAAGGCTTCTCCTTTCTACTTGAATCTCTCAAAATTATTCAAATTTGTGCAATTATACTAAATATTCATAGAACCAGACAAGGAAAAAAAAAAAGAGAAAAGATTATCCAAACATCGAGATTCTCAGATCAAAGAAGCACATTAGAAACCCTAACTTCTCATCTCAGCATTAATAAACACAACAAGACCTAACCACAAGAGCATGCGAGTTCAAAACGAAGTACGAATCATATAGTTTAAAAAGATCATTACAGGAATCTCACCTCACTGTCCCAAGACTCGACACTCAGTTTTTCTTTTCTTTTCTTACTTTTTGTGTTCCTTTCGAAACAGGACAAATAGCTTTTTTTTCTGTTTGATGAAAGTCTTCGGACGCAAAACCAATTTTTAAATAGAGTTAAATGCCACGTCAGATGTTGGAAGGGAGCATCGCGGTCCATTTCCAGTGTAGTCAACGGCCAAGATTTAATATTTGATGCATCTCGCGGATCGACGACGGTATCACTGGTCTTACATTCGAACCACGTGGCGAACGATTAGGCTTCGATGAAGAAATATTCTTGTAGTTTTTATCTTTAACATCTATCAACAATGGAAATAAATTGGGACCAAAAGCTTCCTTACTAAAAAAGATTTTCTTTAGATTTACAATTGTCTTTGAATTTAAAGAAACCATGGGAAAAGTCCATTGCATTTTTGGTAAAATAATTTATTTATTATATGCAGTAGAAATTCGATAAATACTTAAACGATAATGGCTGATAAAATTACTGAATTGCAATTATAATTTGGTTAATCATTTACGGAATTTAAAGTTTTTAACTAATTTATAACAAACATAAAATAATATCCGTACTAAATTTTATGGTTAGATAGTTAATATCGAACTAAATTATCACGAACTTAGAATAAAACTAAAAATGAAATTTTATGCTTTTTCTTTCTAAAATAAAAGTGTAGTTACTATAATTAATGAATGGAAAAAAAAAACAAATATCTTTTTCGATATAGATATATTATGAATTATAATAAATTTATTTTAACTCTTAGTTAAGTAAATTAAATAGTATGATCATTTTCCTCTGGTTCAGCTAATTTTGAAACAATTACAGGGGAAAAAAATTCTTGTCTCAAATTGTGTTACATTTAAGTTAACCAAACAATCCTATTTAAGTTATATCATTCCTATGAAACTTCTTTGTTATAAAACAGATAATAACTCAATTATACTCCTACTTTTTAATGATGCATTTTTGTGTGTTTGTACATATTAAAAAGTATATCTGAAAGATCCATAAAATTACCAAATATTATTATATTAATAGGAAATGTAGAGAACAAAAAAAAATGTTACAAGAACAAAATCATTTTACGGCCAAATATGTTAAGTACATGCTCATATGATCAAGTGACTATGGTGATGAATATTTGACGTAGTTTATCACCTATACCTGAAAATGTTAAATTCTGATTTGCAACATGGATTAGATGAACACTCTCAAATTTTCAGTGGTGATTTTGGTGACAGACTGTAATCAATTGATAAAGGTGATGTCGACACTTAAGAATGACCAGTTTTTATTATCACGTAGATAGATTTCGACAATGTATAAAGACCAGAAAATTCAATAGAATACAAGTTTATATATGGTTCTTGCAATTCTTGTTCCACTGTGTTGTATATTGATTATGTTCATCCACTTTAACTATCAAATTGGTAGTTTATGTTAAATAGTATTGGTTTGTTCATCCAGTTTAGGAAGACCATTTGGGAAGGTAAAGACACATCGTGCACAGTTCGTAGGAACGATTTTGGTATGACAAACTGCACAGAAGAGATGCGAAAATATGTCTTTGGTGTAGTAACATATTGATGTTTCTTACTTGTTTAACAAAAAAAAAGCATTAACACATTTTTGAAAGACAACACTTACAAATATATACATATATATACATATAGTTTAAAAATAAAGCTTTTTGTATGAAAAGATTAATCATATAAAACAATGCCTCACTACTAAGTACTAACCTAAGAAGAAATCCAAAACTGTTTGCTTCATGTATCTCCTAAGGACCTATTCTATTCTCCCAATGTTATGTGGATAAAGGTAAGATGAATGGATCAAGGACGGGATGTCACAATTTTGAGTCTTGTTATGGAATTCTCTCGAGCAATACTGATGGATATCGTAGTAAGATGACATGGGAGTAGCATGAACAAACCTGAAACCGTCTCCATTTGGGTGAGTTTGGTTGATGAAGAGTTGTTGATTACGTTCGTTGGAATCATGTCCATCATAGGAGATTCCAACACCGAGATTGAGGCTGATGGTGTATGGTAGACTTTAAAGTGGGAACATCGTGATTGTGTTTGCCTTCATATATTGTTTATTACAGTTTTTGTATCATGCGATGCCCTCTCCACGTGTTTTCTCACTGGGCATCCAGCAGTTGTGCACTTGTAATAACTCCTACAAAATGACCAAGAGGATCAACACTCTATGCACAAACCAAATAACTAGCACTTGAAGACAAAGACTTAATTGTTCAACTATCATCTTGACCTGCAAGTTTTGCTTGTGTATGTTCATTAAAACAGTAAGAGAGGACTTTGTTGGTGTGGATCATTTGAACGAACCTGGGATTTGGGTTACCCCTGAAGATTTTCTGACCATAGTTACACCACGATCACCACCTATAACCATCATAAAGTATGTCTACCTCACTTAGAGTCTGAACAATAACATGTGGCTCCCGGATAGGTTTCACAAGTGGAGTTACTTCCATGGTCCCCTCCAACCTCCTGCACAAAATTATAAAAAGTTTTTAATCATACATGTCAATTCAAGCAAGCACCTAAACCCTCTCTTACATTGTAATACCTCTGTTTTGCAAATGGATCATTGTCCTACGGGTCATCTTTATTTCTATCTGACACTAGAACTACTCTGCCGTCTTCAGTAGGTGCTTCAGGGTTACCAATTTTCTCAATGGCTTGAGGCAAGGTGTAGATGCTCTTCTCTTCTAATACAAGCGTACCAGGACCAGCAAAGTTTCGGCGACCAGATTGAGGTTTAGGATGGTCATGTGTACCCTTGTAAATAATATCAGTGATCTGCTCAGCATGAGAACTTTCCAATAATTTCTTCACTTCATAGTTTGGATGTGTGCATTTATAATAACTCCATGGAAACTCACTCTCTTTGACATGCTTTTGACCGTACTTCCTCTAGTTGAAACCAAAATATAGTGGACTCAAGTCAATGACTAGGTGTAGCTTCATGTTTTTATCTTCGTTAAGGTGACACGAACTAGGACAAGATGATGACGACCACATCATCCCAAATATAGATTCAACAACAGAAAGCCTTTATCCTCTAACTCATCAATTGTTTTCATTCCATCAATTGGAGCATGGGCCAAACCTCTAGCTTTTGAACAGCCTAATACTCCTTCAACGCCATAAACATCATTGGGTTTTGACCCGCAGTATCTAAACAATTTACTTGATTCCTTCTGGCCAACACTAACTGATGAAACTGGGAAAACCCAGAAGAAGAGAGATCAACAAACTACTGTAAGAGAGTTTCTATGTATCTCGGTTCAAAAAATCCCCGTTTCGGAACTTAAGAACGATAGAACTCTAAGGTTTCCATGGGATTTCATAATGAATTATGCTACCCGAAACCTATATCGAGCGGCCAAATTTTACTTTCCGACTTGATGGAACTTCTCAGGTAATCATCCCTTTTCATGTACTAAGTTTAGGACCAGAGAATAGGAAATAGTATATCATATGACAGTTTCATCGTTGCTCTCTTCCTCCTGGAGGCTTAATCCATGATGTAGTGAATAGGTTGTGGGGAAGAACTTGCAGAATAGGATGTCGTAAGATAAGTGAGACGTCTTATATGTTTTACATTTCCCATGAATCAACTCGACAATGGGTAGTTCAGAGAGGTGTATGACATGTTGATGACTGCTTGTTACTCGTTTCGCCTTAAAAACCAGTGAACTCTCTCAAAGTTCATGAAGTATGTACTATCCCGGTATGTGTAAACCTTAAAAATGTACCAGAATGTTGCTACTCAAGATTAGGTATCAGTGATGTAGCATCTGGACTTGGTGAGCCAATGTAAACGCATAAACCTCACCTTGATCTGACTAGCTTGGGCGAAACAAATTTGTTAGTTGAAGTTGAACTTGATAGGCCCTTCCCAAACAAAATGCCTTAGATGATAGGCAAGGTAATATATTTTTGGTGGATGTTGAGTACACATGGATTCCAAGTGTATGTGGCAGATGTAGACACTTAGGACACAAAGGAAAAAGATGTATCCTCCCAGTTGTTGAAACGAGCGTGGAAAAATCAAAGCAAGATCTGTCAAATGAATATTTGAAAGTTGAAAGAGAAAAGGAACAAACTTAGTTCAATATTGCACTAGACATATGGTGCTATAAGAAGAAAATTCAGAAGTTAGTTTGGTTTCAGCTGAAAAAGCACCAGGTGAGGCTAGTGTCTAAATTTTAGAACCCACTATTAAACCAGAGTTTGAAGAGATGCAAACATAAGAGGGTGTTGAATCGAATGATCTTTCAACCCCAACAAATTTTCCCACTTACTCTAAAGTAACAATAGCTACTACCTCCAACTTTCAGTCTACTTCATCACCATTAGCAGATACTTTATCTGTTTTAGTTTAGAATTTGATTATGGAAGGAACTCCATCACCTATTATTTGTTTCAGAGACCAATTTGGTTTCAGGAAATAATTCATTGAGTTTTGTGCATTCACCTATATATGATAACCTTTCTCATAACCAAACTGATCAACAAACTGAGCAGGATGGTCGAGGTGGGTTTTTAAGTGATGCTACGGCAAATGTCAGCATGTCAAGAGATGGAAGGTTAATAAAACCATTTCAAAAATATCAAATTTGAATTGGAAAATAGTACGAGGGAAAGGTAAACGAAGTCGTCGAGACCATGGATACAATACTTCCTAGTGTTTGCTCCTTCTTGTCTTGTTTCACTAAACTTATGTATTATTATAAGTTTCTCTTTTTCTGAGCTGTTGTTTGGCTAAATATGAGGCTTGTCTCATCATATTTTATAGAATTTTATGGTTGTAAAAACATACCTTGTATGTTTATGTCTTTTAAAATGAATCACTTTTTCACAAAAAAAAAAGAAACCAACAGAAAGCCTTTGAACACAAGCAAAAACTAATTAAGTTTATATGAATCCTCATAATGAATTTGATTATTTGTTTAATTTCTCAACTAACATAACAATTAGAACTAAAATGAAATAATTTTATTAAAATTTAAATGTTTAAACTATTTTTTTATCAACATATTAAATTATTAATTTATCTAATTATCTTCTGGGGGTAGTGATTTGTTTGTCAACCGTATATGTTATGTCATGTTTTACAAATCACTAGACTATATATATCTTTTTTTTTTGAAAAAAACTAGACTATATATATCAGTCACAAAATGTATAGTATATTCTTTTCATCATGTGAAACTTTTACAATATGTTAAAAAAAAGGACGCATATTATGGCAGTGTAAAAGTGGTTAGGACCTGCCTTTCCAGTTACATGGATACATTGTATATGCGCTTGAAATGCTGGTTGTTTCTAGTATAAGGTTTAAACAAAGTAGGTAAAAGAATTTACAATTTGTTTATTTAGAAATAACTTCAAATGTAAAACGGCAAAGTCAGGCATGAAAATTGTCAAAGTTCAAAAAGGTGATGTCCTCAACATCATCATAACTTAGAGCAAACATTTGACCAAGAGAAAAGGGTAGTTCCAATATCTTAGTTTGGTGTACTTAATTTGCAATTATCTTAGTTCATAATATAGGCATATATACTGAGGAATAGTGATCTTATTACTCAAGTGCTGGATATCATTTTAAGGAGTGTTCAGAAACAAAGTAATGAACGTTTGTAGTTTTCAATTCGATGTCTGTAGACAGTTAAAAATATCAACAATATTCAACAGTTTGAGATTAATTTAAATTAATTTCGACATATAAATAGCATGGTCGTGACTCATGCAGGAACTCTTATGAAATAAACTCAATGGTTTTAAACACGTATATAACTTTTTCACTGCAACTGATAATACCTTCTTAGATGGAAAATTACAAAAACAATGTATTATTACTTTCTGGTTCACTGGCCACGCCTACATATAATTAATTACTGGATATAAATATTACAATGCCATCTTTGGATACTCATAATCATAAACAACATTATATATGCTCAAAAAGAACATTTAGAATTTTGCCTCCACGGCTCCACCCACGACAAGCTGTATACAGTCTACAGATCATATCTTCTATGTCTGGTTGATAGTTCTTTTTTTGTTCTTTAGTTTAGGCATCATATAAGAAAAACCCACATAAGTGAATAAGAAAAACCCACATAACAGAATATCTTCCCTTATTAGAAAATATCAAATGTCAATACGATAGAATATTAAATATGAAATTTATGCAAGAAATTAGTACTTTAATTTCTTGTAGTTGTAGGGCATATGATTCTTCTCTGCATTATATATAAAGATACCGATCAAGTACCTAATATATAAAAATAACATAAAAAGAGCAAAAGTACCTAATATATTCACGAGTTTGTATACTCAAAATTTCCTTATATGTCAACATCCTAGTATATATTAATTAGAAAGTCAATTAACTGATTTTACTTAAGTGTCACGTTAATCATATGTGAAATTTAAGAAAATTGTTATAATTTAATTGGTCGATAATTTTTAATTTTTATTTATTTTAATCAAACTAAAAGAGGCAATTTTAAAACTAATTTATTTTAGTTAATTGCCAAACAGTCCATATACTCTTATGCATAATCATTTATAGTATCTAACTGTATCAATTATGAAATTATATAATGTTTTTTCATTTATATGGATTCACTAATGGTCTATTCATAAATTGTATAAAGTATAATCTTAAAAGGTAATTGATAAAACTAATTTAATAGTTTTATTTTCTATTATAAACAATAGTAAAATGGCTTTATTTTTTTATATCTCATAATATACATAGATAAAACATATAATTTTGATAGAAAGACATTATATAATAACTATTAATAATCATTAAACGAGTTTATAGATTATTTACATGAGTTTAAAATATTCATAATATATTTCATAGTATACTGTAATAATGTTTGATTAATTGTTTTATATTTATATACTACATAAAAAAGAATAGAAAAGAATTTATAGCAATAGATCTAATGATTTCATATTCATATGAAAATATCATCATATCTAATAATTATTAATCTCTTATTATGTATGCTTTATAAATAATTAGGCTTTGAAGATTGGTGGATTATATTTAACAAAACATGTGAAAATTTAGATTTTAAAAAATGTTTTGCATTTTAGTCAAATAATATGGTGAATAAGATAATGTTATGATTGAAAATAATTATAAGATAGATTTTTGGTTCCTTTGACTGCAGGTATTATATTACTATTTATAGATAAATAAATATTTGGTAAAAAAATTAATAAAAAGAATGAAATAATAAAGAGAAAAATAAGAAGAGGTAGAAGAAAATGTATATTATGTGTCGGAGAAGTTAATCTGATAATTACATATATAATTCTATAAGCATTTATTTTTACTAAATATTCATCAGTTATTTTCATATTAAATTTATGGAAATTTTACGATTGATTGTCAAATTATTAAGAGTTAAAACATTATATTTTTAAGGTTTCTAATTATTATTCAAAATTTATGGTATTATATATATAATATATATTTCATACCATATTTATATTTACGGATTTGCGGATAACCACATAGTAGACATACTAAAAGGGTTTCATATTAAAAGGGTTTCATTAGATTTATAATATCCCCCATCATTTCCATGTTTTTATGATTTTGTCGTTAAAACATTTTTATGCTGTTTTCTCAATATATAATCTTCCTATTTTCATAAGTGTTATATATATATATATAATTATTTAAATAATTAAATTTTCGACAATTCAGTTTATACATATAAATATTTAATTATTTAAAAACCAATATAGTTAATATTTATAGGTATAAATGTATTATAGGGTCTGAATATTATTTGGTTCGGTTTTGATTTGATTTTAGTTTTGAGTTATAAAGGTATAGGATATGTTTGAGTAATCGATATACACACAAATTCATACCAAATCTTATTTTTTGGTTCTGGATAATGCATGTCTACTCCATATAATATAGCATCCCCGTAAGTCATATCATTCTACACAAAATGTTATTTATGCTCATAATAGTTTTATAACGTATTTAAGGGCGCTTTTATTTTGACTTATAATGATGCTTATTTAGCTAAATTATCTTTTGTAAACTGCTTTCTTATTCAGCTAAATTATTTATACAATATTCTATGTTGCACCCAACTGCTAAACTACAAATACTTCTCTAAACAGAGATTCAATTCTAAAGTAACTTATATCAACGTAGAAATGCATAAAGTATTACCTTAGTTTGTTTCTAAAGCAAGGAATAATGTGTAGAGGTCGTGATAAACATGCTGATTATTTTTAGTAATTATGTTGATTAAGAAGATTTTTATCGATTCAAGAATTTTTTTGTTTGTTTGTTGATGTTACCATTAAAAAAAAACTGTTTCACTTCAGCTGGCATTATTTTAATGTTTATTTTAAAGTATTATTTTGTAGATTTACTAATACACTGGTCTTGAATTTTTCTTAGCGAATCTATAACTAAAACTAATCCCGTAAAAAAATTGGAAAATTATTACTTTGATTGTTTCTCATAACAAATTATTAGCTGGGAAATAAATAATTGAGTATCAATATATTTATGGGAAAAATATAAAATTTTAAAACGAAAGGAGCTAATATCAGCTTCCATCATCGGCCTCTCTTTTAACAACCCAAAAATAAGATTCTTACAGAGATGCAAATCTCAAATCTTTCCCACCTATTATAATATGTGACTGCTGTTTTACCATCTCTGGCTGGAGGAAAAAAGGAATCCTTCTTAATGACTTTTAAGTAATTTAAATTAATAACTTAAAAATCAAGAAACAATTACAGGAAAAAAAAATTAAAAAGGAAAAGTTTTTAATTAAGTTTGAGAGAGAGGGAGGCCATCTTGATAAGAGAAGAACCCTATAGAGAGAGAGAAACAGAAAGAGTGGATGTCTTGTAGAATGAACAAAACATCCTCTGTTTCTCTTGTCCTTGTCCCTTTCTCCAGATCTTAAAAAAAGAAGGTTTCTCCACATTTTCCATCATCTGGGTCCTCTCCAAGATGGTGAATTTCCTTCTTCCACAAGTTCCAAATCTAACCTTTTTTTTTGTTTTTCATTGTCTGTTTACTGTTCTTCATCTCATTGATCCTCTGTTTTTTTTTTCATTCCTCTGTTATTGGATTCTTTGTTGTTGATCCATTGTCAGATTCAAAAAAGATACTCAATTCCGATTTGATCGGGATTGAGATTTTTTTTTTCAGACAAAAGTAGATTTTCCATGTTTCTCTGTCCGTAAATCTCAGAGCTTTGAATCTTTTAAGACACGATCCAAGATTTGTCTTAAAATCAGTTATGTTCTGTTTGTTAGATGAATCAGTGTGTTTTCTCAAGATCGGATTCATTGATTGTGTTTTTGTTATTTTGCAGGAGCAAAAGATGGAATCTGTATCGGATCTGGGGAAGCTATTCATCGGCGGGATTTCATGGGACACAGATGAAGAAAGACTTAGAGAGTATTTTAGCAAGTATGGTGATTTGGTTGAGTCTGTGATCATGCGTGACCGTACCACGGGACGTGCACGTGGCTTTGGTTTCATCGTCTTTGCAGATCCTTGTGTTGCAGAGAGAGTGATCATGGAGAAACACATCATCGATGGCCGCACGGTTAGTTCATCATCATCACAAAGATCTTTACATTGATGAGTTTTTGTGTGATCATTGTTGTCTAATAGATCTGTCATGTGTCTTTAATCATGACTATATTAATGAGTTTTGAGCAGTGGATTTGTTTTAGTTTAGATCAGTGTTCTAAAAATCGGTTTAGACTTGCCTAGACTGGTCTAAGCGCCTCACTAATCAATAATTCTATATATTAAACACTTAACTCCCGTCTAGCGATTTTTTGAACATTTGTTTAGATCTTTATGGTGTCATTAGTTTCTGAATCTGCGTTTGTGTTAATGCAACAATGTTAGTGTTAGATCAATTAGAAGAGATTGAAGAAGCCTTCCTTTCTGTTTTTTTTTTGCAGGTTGAGGCCAAGAAAGCTGTGCCAAGGGATGATCAGCAAGTGCTAAAACGGCACGCGAGTCCAATGCACCTTATGTCACCTAGCCATGGTGGTAACGGACGAACCAAGAAGATCTTTGTTGGTGGTTTACCATCAAGCATCACCGAGGCTGAGTTCAAGAACTACTTTGATCAGTTTGGTACAATCGCTGACGTTGTGGTGATGTATGACCACAACACACAGAGGCCAAGAGGCTTTGGCTTCATCACTTTTGACTCAGAGGAGTCTGTTGACATGGTTCTTCACAAGACCTTCCATGAGCTAAACGGCAAAATGGTTGAGGTTAAAAGAGCAGTGCCAAAGGAGCAGCCTTCATCAGCTCTTCCTCCTGCTAACCGAAGTCCGGTTATTAACCCGGTTATTGGGTATGGTAATAATAACTATGGAGGAGTAGTAGTCTCTAATAGGCCATCTGGTAATAATAGCTACTTCAATAGTTTTGCTCCTGGTTATAGTAACAACATAGCCCCTCCTGGCTCTAGGTTTAGTCCTATTGGTAGCGGTAGGAATGCTTTCTCTAACTTTGGTCTTGGTTTGAACCAAGAACTGAGTATGAATGGGAACACTATTGGGTTTAATCGGATCCCTGGGAACCAATACTTCAACAATGCTTCACCAAACCGTTACAACTCTCCAATAGGATTCAACAGAGGAGACTCTGCTTACAACCCTAGCAATAGAGACTTGTTGTGGGGAAACAGAACTGATTCTTCTGGTCCTGGTTGGAACTTGGGTGTCTCTGTTGGTAACAACAGAGGAAACTGGGGCCTTTCTGATACTAACGGTTATGGGAGAGGCTTTGGGACAGGTTCTGGACTTTCTGCGTTGTCATTCTCTGGTAGTAACAACAACAACAACAATACAAACGGTTTTGGTGAGTCCATAGGGGAAATGTACAGAGGGAACTCGGTTTATAGCGACTCAACGTGGCAGCAGACGATGCCTCATCAGTCTTCTAATGAGTTAGACGGCTTGTCTCGCTCTTATGGCTTTGGTTTTGACAATGTAGCTTCAGACCCATCTGGTAATGCCTCTGGAAGCTACAGTGTGGGAGGGAATAGAGGTTGGTACACTCATTCATCAGCATCTTAATGGCCTTTAGCTTTGTTTGATCTCTTCTGATACATTTTTGATTTAACATTTTTTCAGGTATTGAAGCATAGTTTGAAGAGTTGTTATGTGATATCATCAAAAACTTCATCACAGTGAGTTCCTGTTTTTTTAGCATCAAGAAAAAGAGTTTATTACTGTTTTTAATTCTTACATAAAGAGAAGATCAGAGTGGTAGCTGCAAAGATACAAAGATGTGGATGATAAAAGAGATTTGGTGGTGTCTGAGATCATCTTCAATAGCAAATAACTAGAGAGATCGTTGATTCTCGATCACTATTCTTTAGATTCTCCAAAAAGATTCTTCATGTTGTGTGCTCTTGTTTGTAACTCTAATTGTTAATGTTTTTTTTCTTTCTTTACAGATTTATTTTATCTTTTGGTTTAAACTTGTTTGATTCGAATTGTTCATGAGAGAACTTTATGATTTTTCTATTTAGTGTGAGAGTAAAGCATTGTGCAAAAGGGCTCCAAAATGATTTATATAGTTTTTTGCATTTGATATTTTCCTTCTGTTAAAGCATTAATAAAAATCTGTTGAGGTTGGAAACGTTCTATTTCATGTATTGGTTCAACTTTTACTGTGTTTTGAGGATTGAAATACGAATTACGACCTTGCATGTTTCAGTTTGGACTAAATTATGAACAGAAGAATAATTAGGGTCATATTTTAGAAATTAAGTACGAGCGTACTACATGTTTCAATGAGTTTAGGGATTTGGTATTTATATAATACAAGTCACGAAGAAATCAAATGGGGATGTAGCTCAGATGGTAGAGCGCTCGCTTAGCATGCGAGAGGTACGGGGATCGATACCCCGCATCTCCATTTATTTTTATTTTTTAATATCTCTAGGTCTGTAAGCATGCTACATCTTCTTATTGTTATGGACTTATGGTGATGTCCAAAGCATATTAAATTAACTCTACCATCTGCGTGATTTGGGATTGTGCAAACTGTTTATTTGGTGCCCAACTTGTAGACCGCTGTAAGAATGAAGATTTTGATGGAGCAGCTCAAATGTTAAGGGAAATGGTCAGAAGATCAAATCCTCTTGATTCAAGGACTGTTCATCAGGTCTTCAATGGACTAAATCATCAAGGAAAAGACCAACTTGTGAAACAGTTGTTCCAGGAGATGGAAGCAAAAAAGATTATACAAGAACCTCTAGGTAACTGAAAAGAAAGGTATTATACCCAAAAAATAACAATTTATTTTTGTTCACTGCAATAAAAAAACTGATATTACAAGACACAAGGCAAGAGTATAAAGAGTATATGTTACAACAACAAATGAAAAGTTACACTCCAAGAATTTTTTCTGATGTTTAGGACAGAACTAGAATATATAATCATGAAAACAATATAGTTCCGGTTGTTAAGACTTGACATAGTCACACATAGGATATGTGATCAAAAGTTTGATCACATTAGAAAAGAGGCAAGAAGCATGGCCAAAACAGGAAGGAGAAGAGATAGAGTGAGCCGGCTTTGTCCACTAGGTGCTTGTGCACCGGTTGATGGTTTAGCAGGGCTTCCAGGGGTTCCAGGTGTTGAAGCTGGGGGTTTCGCTGTAACCGGAGGTAGTGGTGGCTCATCAACATCAGCATCTGTGAACACCGGGTTTGGAGCTTCAGCTGGAGGTAAAGATGCATGATTCACAACTTCTAAGAGTCCACCAGGTTGCACAGGAGCCATGTAAGGTGGAGTTTCTTTGCTTCCCAAACATCTATTCCCTGCAAAAAGAGAGAAACAAAAACTTAGGCATTGATGTTATTTTTTTTAATATCAGGAGCTTTGGTTAGGCCACTTACTTCTGTATCTAGCAGCTGTGAAAGGGAACTCAGTGATGGTTCCATTAACACCAGCTCCAGTAACATATGAGTTTATCTCAGTGTTTGCGTCAGAGAAGAAGTCATAAGGTTGAGATACAAACTCATTCTGGAACAGTTCAACATATACTGGAAGCTGAGACTTCTGCAGCCTCTCCACAACATTGGTTTGCCCAGTGACAAACCCTTGAGCGTCAGGAAAGACTGATGATTTTACAATGACAACAGCACTAGCGAATGTCTTTATGTCTTCAATAGCAGAGTATTCAATATCACGGATGGTTTCTTCAACTTTGTACACGGTCTCGTACTTGCTCTGCTTCTTGAAGTCAACTAGAACCGAGCTGTTTGTTGACTGAATCATAACCTTTTTGGTTGTGATGTTGGTGTAGCCTGTCTCTGTTAGTGTGTCAAGAACCGCTTTAACCACGTCTAGTCCTTGGTTCTCTCTCAGGTATGCTGCATTCTGAGGAACACAAGAAGATGTTATGATCCCAAAATCTTAAGACTAAAGAGGTACAAGAGAGCTCTCACCTCTACACTGATCAAAACACCGGAAAGAGAGGTGGAGTTCTTTGCCAAGTTTAGGAAGTCTGTAAGTGAAACAAGCTTCCCAGCGTTTCTCTCGTTTGGGTTCCTAAACATATTGTATGCTCTGTATGGGTTTGATATAGCAGCTGCACAAAACAGTTGGATAATAGTTAACTTAAGTTGCAAGTTATCCAAATTCCAAGTAGTTTGTATCTCTAAGTAACACCTATTTTGGGTCAAGTAGGAAGTAGATATAGAAGCTCTCAAACTGGTTACTATTAATAGTAGGAAGAAGAGTGTACAAAACAGACAAGCATTTATCAAAGTAGTGAGATTCTATCTCTACTAATACTACAGTAACTAGTTTGTTAGTTTGAGAGCTTCTATCTGTAAATAGAAAGTTTGAGGAGAAACTTACGAGTCAAGTTCTGGATCTCAGGCCAGGTGAGACTAAAAGTGTATATGCCACCAAGTGAGCTAAGCTCAGGAACATTTATTGAACGGTTTCTGAAAGGAGTTTGGGCGATCATTGTGGTGTTGCCAAGATCGATGGAACTTGAGCAAAAGGGTGTACCATCACTGGACATTTGGACAGAACAGTCTATAACATCAGCACCATCTTTGATTGCCTTGGCATATGCCAAGTCTGTACATCCTGGGTAGTCTCCACTTGCACCATTTTTGGAGATAACAAGAAAATCCACTGAAAACATGAAACCATTTAGTACATGACAACACTAACATGTTTCTTTAGTCATTGCAAGAAACAGAAACAAAGTTAGTACTTATCATACCTTGTTTTGTAGCGTTTCTGCCCATGTGGGAGAAGCATTCTGATGAAAACATGAAGAGAATGTTTTGATTTTGAGTATCTTAATCAAATATATTAAGGACTAAGAGTTTGTCTGTAGAAGAGATTTTATTTTACTTACCAACGGATGCAGAAGCAGTAATGGGAAAATCAGTGAGCACACCATCAACAGAGAAGTTACCATTGTCCACAAAAGATAGATACTCAGACACAGGATCATAACTATAGTTATGTGCAATATCAACATCATTTGCAAAGCCTGACACAAACACTTCAAGTCCTGCTTTGTGAGCATTTTGAACTAAAGTTGTATACGGAAGCAAATACTGCTTGTCATCAAGTGGCAATATATAAGACTTTGGAACAAGAATCCCTGAAGCAAAAGTCTTGACAAAAGTCAAGTTACTTAAAATAGAACCGTATGTTCTGTTTGTCGTCGGCTCGAATGCTTCTTTCTCAAGAAACTTGAACACGAAGCTTGGTCCATTTTTCCCGAAACGTCCAGAGATTTTCTTAAAGAAGTTGACTTCAGGGGAAGAGATGAAGTCAATGATAATAGTTTTTGAAGCTGTGGTTAGAAAAGTGGTCATGCTTAGGTTATGCTGCGCGTAGAAGGCCTCGTGCTCAACGTTTAACCAAAGGCCTTGTGGTTTTAGCTGTGTGTTTAAATCTTGAACCGTTAAAATCGAGTATCCGTTTCCATCGAATCTCTCTGACCGTGATAATATACCTCTGATCACTACAAAAAGTTGAGAACATAAAGTCACACATTTGTTTTTGGACAAAACTCTAAAATAACATTTTCTAAATTTACTTTCGTTTCAAAATAAGTGTCATTTTATAATTTCAATGTAAAAATTATTTAACTTTATTTACTATTATATTTTTCTATTGGTTGAAATGTATTTAACTGTATATGTAATTGTGTTTTTTTCTAGAAAATATATAAAATTAAATGATTACTTAATATGTACGTAAAAATCTAAAATGACAACTAAATTGAAATAGAGAGAGTATAAATTATTCAAACTTCTAAACCCTAATCTTATCTTTATCCCTTAAATACTAAACCCCGAATCCAAATATGAAATTTAAATTTATTTGTAAGCAATGCTATTTTGAACATTTTTCTTCATGTTAATTTTATCATAAGACATAATTTAAAGCTATTTAAGAGTATTTTTCTTTCTTTTTTTTTCTACAAAATCACTCACTAAAAGAGTTAAGAAGACTTACAATTAACTTTGGTTAGATCTTTCAAGGAGAAATCGATGGTGAACCAGCCCTGTGTAGAGACTCCATTAACAAGGTAAGTGTTGGTACCATTCGGGTAAGCAGCTTCAGCAGTTGAAGCGTTGCTCATAGTTAAACCAGGGAAGCAGATCCCAGCTCCATCTTTGGTAAGCTGAAGATCACACCATAGAACAACGTCTTCTTCACTTGTCAGCATTGCGAAGTTGTAAGCATCGATGCTCGAATCTGGAAACAATCCAGAGAACCCTCCACGAGCAATCACACGAGGAGAGAAACCTAACAAGCAAGCAAAACAAAACAAGAAATGGTAATCAAGAATCAAGAAGTTGACTTTTAATTAAAGAGAGAAAGAGAGAGAGAGAGCACTCACCGGTGAGCGTCTGCCATTTACTTTTAGGGGTTTTAGGTACTTGAGCATCGGTTTGAGAAGCAAGAAGCTGAATCAGAACAACAACACAGAGTAAAAGTAACCCTCGCATTGTCGGATTATGTCTTCTTCCTCCCGCCGGAGACTTTTCCGGCTTCTTTTTTTTTCAGGGAAGGAGATTTGTTAGAGAAAGGTAGAGGAGGAGAGAGATTCTTCTTAGTTTCTAACTGTTTCGTTTGTTGGATTCTCATTTATATGATCGTTAATTCAAATTAAAATATTTAAATAGTTTAAGTTATCAAAAAAGTCTGTTTGGCGATTAATTTGCTTCTTACAAGTTAAAATGTTGTCATCCATCGTTGAAGATATTTTAGAATTAATAATTTGCAGTCTAACCACAATTACGCGTAATCACGTAGTTTTATTTGGACAGTTCAGGAGCCGAGAATTTTGTTGGTCGGCTTCAGCTTAATACTGTCGAGCCCTTTGTTCTTGGATTCTAACATTTTTTATTTTATTTTTTGTAATTTTTTTTAATTAATCAAGAGGTTCTGGACTCGTAGGTTTGTACATCTCTTATGTCGAGTTACATTTTATTTTAATTTCATTTTTTTGGAGAATAATGTTTTCAAATAAGAGTTGAACTTATAAAGTTTTAGATATCTACTATTTAATATAATTTTTTATCTAATAAACTAATTTTTCATTGGAAAATTAAATACAGATTATATTACATTCAAAAGAGTGGCACTTGTTTACTTAATTCAATGCAAAATGAGGTATAAGCATAACCTCCAGTTTTAAATATCTACTATTTAATCTAATTTTTTATCTATTAAACTAATTTTTCGTTGAAAAATTCAATACAAATTAAGTTACATCCAAAAGAGTGGCACTTGTTTACTTAATTCGATGCAAAATGAGGTATAACCTCTAATTGTTATACTTGCTCTTGTGTTATAAAGCAAACCAAGCTTGTATTTTACACTGTGCTTATCTCTTGAATATGTGTTTTAAATTTTTACTAATTCTTTAGACAAGTAATGTTTATTGAGTATGGTAGTAATAAGCTTTGCTTTATGCTTGAAACACTTGTGGTTTTACTCTACCATCCTATATATTAGGATGACCAGCATCATTTAAATATATATATGCACTCTCGAGTACAACTTGTAAAAGACATTAATGTGGCCACCACTTGGGACCCTTCACTTCACTGATATGATGAATTATATTGTATCTTTGCATGCATTGGATTGACATTTATGTTTGGTTTTATACATACAAGTTGGTATAAATTAAATGTTAGAAATTTTCAAAATATAACAAAACATGCAAAACATGTCAAGTTTGAAAAATGTAAAATATTTAGACTATTATAGTTGTTTCATATTTATGAGTTTTGCTACATACTTTTTAAGTTTGTTCAGAAGGAATTTTGTTTTAATGTTTTTATTCAGATTTTAAAGTCTGAACCAAATCTCATTAGCTAAGTTTTTTATGTTAAATTTATTTTTCCTATAGATGTATATATTGTCCCTAATTGTCAATAAAACATATTAAGGTAAATATAATTCAGTTGCTTGAAAAATACAATACTGTAACTTACAAAAAAAATACAATACTGTAATGCTTATTTGGTATATCAGAAAAAAAACATATATCACCAAGACAAAGCAGAAGAAAGAGAAGAAGCTTTGGTCGGCGACGGCTCGGCGCGCGCCAAATTTAAAAAGTAGTTGATGAATAAATAACCGCTAAGGCGGGTCCCATAAACGTGGCAGCATGAATCATCTGTAATCGAATACGTGGCGAGTAACGATTTGTAAGTCACTCATGACATCAGCAAAGACGGGGAAACCTGTCAAGGTTATACGTGGGACCTTTGTTTGCTGTAACACCCCAAAACAAACCACCGCTTTATCAATTTTTGTAACAATACTATTTTATTTTGGTTTGTCATCATCATATAATAGAGTATAAAATTTCGAAGAAAGTTGTAAACAAGGACATTGATGTGATGTTGTGTATTCGATTGTGAATTAAATGTTTTTATAGGATTGACATAATTGTTTTTACTCGGTCAACCTCGAATACTCTAATTAATTTAGGATCGGAAAAAGTTGTTTCCCTGCAGAGTGATGTTGACCTCAAGGCTCAATCTTACAAAGTTGCAATTATACGTTTCTGAGTCGGTGAAATGACTCATTTTATTAATTTATTGGAGTCTATCTTCTGAGTAGTATTTATCTAATGGTTCTAGGACGGTTCATTCCACGACCAACAACCTGGCTGTGTTCCAGGAGGTTGAGAATTAATTAATTTGTTTCCCACCCCTACACGGACTCTTTTTTTCTTTTCAAACAATTTTGTATCTGTGAAAATAGACAGTAAAATTGTAACAATAACCCAATTGAGTACACACAATAAGTCAGTATATAGAGCTCTTAACTCTTTACATCTTCTATCCTTAAAAATCGACATATGTATGAGCATGGAGCTTCATTTTCCATACCATACCTCTCACGGTTTTATACCAAGAGGGATTTCAAAATATCAGTTTGCTGATCGCTTTAAATAATTTCTTGAGGGTAGGTTTCCCGTGAAAACTGAAAACAAGTTGTTTGTAACAGTTGAAGACCGAGAAGATGGAACAAGACATGCAGACAAAGGAAGCCATGGATACGTATACGATCAATTATATGGAGTCCCTAGGATCACACTCGAGTGGTGCAAACGCCATGAAGTAACCCAAACCCATTGAAAAGGTAAACACATTGAATTTACTTGTGGGAAGAAAAAAGAAGAAACAGCGTCTAGTAATAAAGTTCAATAACATCTCATTATACAAATATTGAACAAGCCTCTTATGGAGAAACTTAAGTGGACAATGGACGTGGAACCTGAACTCAGATTCTAATATGCATCAGCATCAGCAGCAGCAGCTTGAGAGTTTCTGATACAGAGCAAGAAGGCTACGCTATCCGAAGAGCAAGCAGGCTAAGATTGTTTAACGCTACTTAACACGACATCATTCCAATAAAACCTGTAATGTCCACATTTCAAATGCAGAACGTGTTCCATTTTTAACAATGAGAAAACCTGTAAGAAGATGATCTTGGAAAAAAAAAACATTACAAATGATACAATCAGAACAGAACAACATGAGCTGTTGCCTCAATCAATCTCTGCCTCGAATCATCTCCTTTCCTTTCGTTATCCTTCTACGTCAAGTCACTCATCTTCTTCTCCAACCAATCAAACCTGAACTCCACTTTCTACCATACATACCACCAGGAATGAACCAAACAAGTACTCTAGATTTAAGTAGAAGGCACAAGATAAGATAAACACAGTCATGTACACAAGGATAGATAAAAAAAAAAAACATTGATAAAACAAAACAGAGTCATGTCTTAAAGTCTTGAACTTTAACTACTATACTAGTCCTTTTCAACCCTTCTAAAGTCATTCAGCTTCTTCTCCAACCAATCAAACCCGAAGTCCACTTTCTACCATATATACCACCAGGAATGAACCAAACAAGGAAAGATAAGATAAACACATTCATGTAAGAATAAAATATATAATACACAACAACCTCTCAAAAACCAAACATCGATAAAGACAAAACAGAGAGTCATGTCTTAAAATCTCCAACTTTAAATACTAAACTAGTCTTTCTCAACCCTTCCAACGTAACATTAACAACATCAACAACCCTAGACCTCAAAAAAAGACCAGCAACCTCCCTAACACCCTCCCCACCACACTCCTCAACCGCCACAACACAAACCCCACCCTTCCTCACCGTCCTCTCCATCTCCTCAACAACCCTCCCGGGAAACAGATCCTCCCCAAGATTCCCATCAAAAGCCAAATCAAACACCCCATCGAAAAACGGCAAGTCATGAGGATCAGCCTTCCTCACAACCGGACCAGAATCAACCAACTCCACACCCGTAACATCCCCCAACCCGATCCGCTCCATCGCCATCGGCGCGTGTCCTGCTCCCGCCGAGAGGCAGAGGGCCTTGGTGTGGTTGTGGATCAGCCCGAGGTCGCGGAGACGGAGGAAGTAATCGGAGAAGGAGAGGACACGTGTCTTCCAGGCGTTGGATGACCAGAGGCGGGCGTTTTTCTTGTGAAGAGGGAGGTGTTTTCTTGGGGAGGTGTCGCAGGTGGATCTTGGGAAGTGTGTGTGGGGCTTTGAAGGTGCTTCTGGTGAGATGCATGTTTTCGGGGTTTGGAGGATCATTAGCAACATGATTAGGGTTCCGATGATTATGAATGCGGTTGAGACTCTGTTTAGCATCTTCTCGATGTTTCTCTCCATCGTCGTCGGCTCTGATCAAACACTGAATGTGTGGCGCGTGAGTTTTTATCTTAAGTGCGCGTGGAGTTTTTATTGAAGGTGGCTTTATTGTATGTTGTTGGGCCTTATAAAATGGCCCATGTACGTGAGCCTTTTAAGTATGTGATTTTGTTTAATGTTTAAAATTTTCAGGACGAAATGCACAAATATTAAAACGAAGTGGGGCGGTATTGAAAATAATGTACTCCTTCCGTTTCACTTTATTTGTCATTCTAGATTTTTACACACAGATTAAGAAAATATTTAATTTTACATATTTGCAAGATAAAAACACAATTACCTATACACTTAACCACTTTTCAACCAATAGAAAAATAAAATATTATATAAAACTAATAAATTTTGCCTCGAAACTTTAAAACGACGCTTAATTTGTGACAAAAATAAGTTATAGAATGACATATTGTGAAACGGAGGTAGTAAAACTTTAGGGAAGGAGAGAAGAAAGGTTTGGAATGTTATCTTTAAGAGATTCAGGCTAAATATATAATTTATAAAAAGAAGCCGGGTGGTTTTGAATATTTTATAAATATTTAGGAGAAGAGAGAGAAAACATTTACATGGGAGAATTTCAATTATACCACTTTGGTGGTACCACTTTTCATGTTTACCATCAACAAAGGAACATTTTCATAAATACACATTTTATTAAAGGATAAAAGACTATTATATCCTTGTTTTTTATATATATACATAAAATAAATATTAAATAAAATATTAACCCTAAACCTTAAAACATCAAATCTAAACTCTAGACTCTAAAAAATAAACCCTAAATATCAACCCTAAACCCTAAAATATCAATTTTAAACCTTAAACCCTAAAATCTAAACTCTAAGAAGTAAACCCTAAACCCTAAAAATCAACAATAAACCCTAAACTATCAATCCTAAACCCAAAACCCTAAACCCTAAATTCTAATAGTATTTTGACTAATAAAATTTTAGTGGTAAAGTTGGTTAGCGTAAAGTTGAAAAGTGGTATCTTGAAAGTGTTATTTTTGGCAATTTCCCCATTTACATACCCTAAGAAGCTCTCTCCCCAGGGAAAAAGAAGACGAAAATCGGAGAATTGTTGATTACTTTGGAACTAGGTGTTTTGCCCGCACATGCGGGCATAATTTTCGTATAATTTATTATTAGTCTATATTTTATTAATTCAAACCAAAATAAGAAGTTATGATTTATGTTTTAAAATTAATTATAAATGACAACACTCACATAATAAAATATTTTTACAAATGTATTGCTTTAATTTATTTTAATTATATGTTTTCTATCTTAATTTTTTATTTCTATAATAAAAAAATATATTTCAAGATAACAATATAATACATAAGAAGTAACTTATTTTCTCAAAATATAATTTTTAATAGAAATTCGTTTTTATTTTATAATAAATTTTATATGAAATTATTAAAAATATGACAAATAATCAAAATTATCTAAATCATGGAGAAATTACATATCATATAATTTACTTAAATTTTCTAAAAGAAAATATATGTTCAAGATAACAATCTAACACATAAGAATTATCTTTTTTAAAAATCTAGTATTATTATATACATTTGTTTTATTATTTAATAAATTATATATGAAATTATTAAAATATGATAAATAAGCAAAGTATAAAACTATGGAGAAATTGATAAATCAGCATTGCTTTCTTTATATTTAACTATTAATATTTGAACTTAATTTTAATTTCTATGATAAAAATATATATTTTAAAGATAACAATATAATACATAAGAATTATCTTATTTTCTAAAAGTATAATATTATTAATATAAATTCGTTTTTCTTAAATAATAAATTGTATATGAAATTATTTAAATAAGATAAATAAACAAATTTACCTAAAATCAAGGAGAAGTTGACAACTAAGCAAATTTACTTCTTAAATAATAGTATAGATCATTATTCTACGAGATTGAGATTGGGCCTTATAAAATGGGCCATATCACAATACGGGCCCATGTACTTGAGCCTTTTAAGTGTGATTTTGGTTGGAAATGTTATCTTTAAGACTTTCAGGACGAATGCACAAATATTAAAACGAAGTGGGGCGGTATTGAAAATAATGTAAAACATTAGGGAAGGAAAGAAGAAAGGTTTGGAATGTTATTTTAAGACATTTTGGCTAAATATATAATTTATAAGAAGAAGCGGGTGGTTTTGAATATAATAATAAAACATTTAGGAAAGGAGAGAGAAGCTCTCTCCCGGGGAAGAAGAAGAAGAAGGCGAAGATCGGAGAGTTGTTGATTGATTTCGATCGGAACCATCGCGTTTTTGAAGAGGGAGTCGATGTCAGAGCTAGACAGGCAGATAGAGCAGCTGAAACGCTGCGAAGCGTTGAGCGAACCGGAGGTGAAGTCTCTGTGCCTCAAAGCGATGGAGATTCTCGTTCAAGAGAGTAATGTTCAGAGAGTCGATGCTCCCGTCACTGTAAGTTCTTGCTTACCTTCTATTTCTCGATTTAGGGATTCGTTAATTAGAGTTTATCTGGAAGTAAAATTAGGAAGCTCAAGAAATGTTAAATAGATTAAGCACGTGGCATCGTAGTTTTGAATCTTGGCTTGGATCTACGTGAAGTTGCAGTGTGTTAAGTGAGAGTAGATGTCAGTTATCTTGTTATGATCAAGAAATGTTAAGAGGTTAGGCACGTGGCATCGTAGGTTTGAATCTTGGCTTGGATCTAAGTGAAGTTGCAGCGTGTTAAGTGAGAGTAGATGTTATTTATCTTGTTATGATTTTCAAGAATTGCTAATCCTTTGGAGATTTGTGTGTTTTTTCCACTGGAATAGCTATGTGGTGATTTACAAGTGATAGTAGATGTTATTTATCTTGGCTTGTTGTGATCTTCAAGAATTGCTGATCATTGGAGATTTGTGTGTTTCTTGCTACTGGAATATAGCTATGTGGTGATATACATGGGCAGTTCTATGACATGATGGAGCTTTTCAGAGTTGGAGGTGATTGCCCTAAGACGAACTACATGTTTATGGGAGATTTTGTTGATCGTGGATACTACTCTGTTGAGACGTTTCTGCTACTACTCGCTCTCAAGGTAAACACTCTGTGACGGTTGTTTTACTTTGTTTCCTTGGTCATGTTTGTTTTGAGTCAGTTTAATGGGTTGCTTTGGTATCCTCTCAGGTTAGATATCCAGACTGCATAACTCTCATTAGAGGAAACCACGAAAGCAGGCAACTCACACAGGTGAATTGCAGTCTCTCATTTAAAATTCTGGTGTGTCTGTATATATTGAGACTACTTACACAGTGTGCTTTTAGTAGGTTTATGGATTTTATGATGAGTGTTTGCGTAAATACGGCTCTGTAAATGTCTGGAGATACTGCACTGACATTTTTGACTACATGAGGTACTTACTCTCCTCACGCATTCCACCTTTCTTTGTTTCGTTTTTTTGGGAAACTCTGACGCTAAAATGATGGGGGCTCTTTTTATATGTACAAAAGTCTTTCAGCTGTTGTTGAGAACAAGATATTCTGTGTTCATGGTGGTCTCTCTCCAGCTATTACGACTCTTGATCAGGTTGATAGAAGATCTCTCTCTCTCTCTCTCTGTTGATATAGTGACAAATTTCAACTAAGAATGAATCAACTGACGAACCAATATACATTTTATGGCAGATCAGGACAATTGACCGGAAGCAAGAAGTACCACATGATGGTGCCATGTGTGACCTCCTATGGTCTGATCCTGAAGATATTGTTGAGGGATGGGGTTTGAGTCCACGTGGAGCTGGATTCCTTTTTGGCGGCAGTGTCGTCTCGACTTTTAACCACACAAACAACATAGACTACATAGGACGAGCACATCAACTAGTTATGGAGGGTTACAAATGGATGTTCGATAGCCAGATTGTGACAGTGTGGTCAGCCCCAAATTACTGTTATAGGTAAAATTAGATACTCAGGACCGTCTGCTCCAGTCTGTGTGTGTTTCCTTTTAGCTTGATCGTGGCATTTACTCTTTATTGCACTTGTGCTACAGATGCGGTAATATCGCTTCCATTCTAGAGCTGGACGAGAATCTAAACAAAGAGTTCCGTTTGTTCGAGGCACCCCAGCAGGTATGAAATAATATAATCTGGTTGTCTTTCTTATACCCTATGATCATTAACATACTTTAAGTGCAGGACTCGAGAGGGCCTCCCGCCAAAAAACCTGCCCCTGACTACTTCCTATAATGTTACAACCCTACTCCCAGAGTAAAATCGAGGAAGAGAACCACAACTCGTTCAAGAGTTGTTTTTATGTGAGGCATTGCAGAAGAAGTCTATACAAAACAATTTTTTCAGGCGAGATCTACTTAGGTCACAGGGACTATCGAACTGGGGTTAGTTTGAGAAAGATATTGTTGTAACCGAATCTTATTTGTAGGAGTGTTATTGTATTTGCTTAGGATGTAAAGACCTCAAAACAATTTTGAAGCTCACAGTTATTTCAGTAGAAACTCCACAGGAACCCTTAAGACAATATGGCAGATAATATAGTTGGTTCATGCTTGGATTATTGCTGTTTGGTAGGAAATGACTAAGAAGATGAAGATGAGTAGCGTTCTTCCAAAGATTTTATTTCATCAACAATATAGACTCACTCTCTGGCATAGTCTTTCGAATACAATGAATACTGTTTCATAGTTGAACGTGAAAGTAAAGTAGGGAAGAGGTATTGTATGTTTCACACAGCTATAAGAATAAGAAAAGAGAATAAAACCAATATGTTTGATTGAAAAAGATACACAGAAAGCACGAGCAGCCACTCAAGGGTTGCCTAGTGTGAGTAGAAGATGGTATCTACTCTACTTCGCTTAGGATAGGGACAATGAGAGGCTTCATCTGCGCAATGTATACAATTGCCCACCTGCCCCAAAACAAAAGACAAAAAAAAAAAAAACCAATTCAGTGGATATAAAAAACGAGTCATATGATGATGATCACAACAACACAAGAGAAGAAAAAAGTTGGACTTTGTTCGGAGACCAATTAATGAAGCTTTGCTATATAACTCATCGAGTTCAGATTAAGTTTCATAGTGGCATGAATCATCTCCTACTAGAACTGTTGAGATATTACATTGTTCACAAGAAAAATTGGAAGTAGTAACGCTAAGAAGGATCAAACATGATAAACTTACATCAACCAACAGCAGACTGTCGCAGTAATGACCAAAGTGAAATGTAGCCTGTTCCATAAACCAAAACAAAAAAAAAAGTCAATGATTAAATTTCTGTCTAAACAAATAATCGATTCTAAAGGCGCAAAGAGAGATGAATAATGATTCGAGCTACTAAACCACATTAGCATTGACTAAACAATATATCGACGGGCAAGGATATTTAATTAAAAAAGAAATTTTGCGATGAAATAAAAACATTACAGATTGGTGGAGGGGCCTTGGTTGAAGCAGATCCTTGTGAAAATCGAAGCAATGATGCCGACCACAGCGAATATTAAGGATGTCACAAGGAAAGCCATTTCTGATCTTACTGAATTGATCCCAACGCCACGAGAATCGAATCACACGCGAGTTTTAGGTTTGAAAATCAATGCGACACGATCTGAGAGAAAGGCTGATGATAATCGGAAAGAGGAGGAGGAAGATAGATGATTGACGATAATGGATTTTATCGTATTTCGGATCTGTGAGGGGTAAATTTGTCATTCACCCTTAACTAATTCAATTTCAATTCGTCATCTCAATTTTCTTACATTATTTTTTTATATTTCTTTTTATTTATTTTATTTTTGTTCTCCAACCAAAAACATTATTGATGTTTACGATCACAGTTTGCATTACCATTCAAAACGTCATCTCGGACCATCTCCAATGGTCTACACAATTTTTTACAATTTTTTCACTCTAAAATAGAGTCACTCGATAATAGAGTTAGAGTTTACTCCAATGGTATTCTATTTTAGAGTAAAAAATAGAGTGATAAACAAAGAAAAAACAAGTTACTCTATATTAGAATAAACCTATTTTTCACTCTATTATAGAGTGAGATATAGAGTACCATTGGAGCACTTTTACTCTAAAACTCTATTTTAGAGTAAAAAATAGAGTGAGGTTGGAGATGCCCTCAAGTGTTCAGTGGGAAGGGGTAGGCCTGGGCGTTTTTAACTTAACCCGAAATATCGACCTTAACCCGAACCGGAAAAACCGAAACCGAATCCGAATTAGAATCCGAACGGGACTTATGAGCTTAGTACTTTGGACTATGGTTATAATCCGAACCGAACCGAAATCCGAATTAGAATCCGAACATATCCGAAATTAGTTAAATATGTTAATGTGTTTATATATGTTAAGGTGATTTAGATATTTTAGAGTATTCAAAATATTTTTGTAGTTTTGTTTTATTTATTATTTTGAATACTTTTTAAGTTAATTTAGATAGTTTAACTAATTTTTAATTAGATTTGTAAATAATTTATATATTTTGAAACTTTTTTTGTCAATTTTCGAGGTTTTAAAAATATATTTTTGGACGATTTTAAACATTGGTTATATCCGATCCGAACCGAACCCGGAAGGAACCGAACCGAATCCGATCCGATAATTAGTAAAAACCGAATGGTACTTGTGAGCATAACACCCGAAAATCCGAAAATCCAAATAACTCGAACCGAAACAGAATGGGCCACCGAACGCCCATGCCTAGGAAGGGGTTACACATTCTTTCTAGATTTATTAACACTCAAAGGCAGTTTTTAAGTTTTTATTACACTATACAACACTTTGTGTTACTAGGGTTGTTTTTGAAGGCTAATTACAATACTAACCCCAACTATAAGAAACCTAGTTGTTGATTTAGTTACTTTCTACAAAGTTTTTTTTTTGTGTATTTGAATTTAAAATTTTTAAATGAATCAGATCTATTCTTTTTGAATTGTAACTATTAAATTATATGGAGGTGACAGATGTTATAGGAAACGAAATCTACTCTTTTTTTTTGTCTTGTAAGTTATAGAACTCAAGATAGATATGTTATATGGAGGTGATAGAGCATCCGTAAAAAACGTGACCGACCCTAAATCGTGAGTTATATTATGTCGTGGTTGAGACTAGAGTTGTGGCCGCAAGAATTGTCGTGATTTCAGTTGTGGAGCACTGGATACTTCAGTGAGAAAACGTGATGGAGCAGCCAGAGAGCTCCGTTGTCCGTGAACTCAAACTCAAAATTCCGACAAATCACTACCGTAATCCGCTTCAAGGTCAAATCTCCTTCTCGTCGTGGTCTTCACGCTCGGGACAGGAGTTGTGGCCACCGGAATCTTCATGACTTCAGTTGCAGATCAAAGAAAAAAGCTTTGATAGAAGCAACAATGGAGATTTTTTTATTATTTGCAACTATGGTCCTCCCATTCTTTCTTATTCTCCATTTTGCCTAAAACTTTTAATTAGTTTAATTTTCTTCATGAGTTATCCCCGTGACTTTTAATTGTACAATATAGACCAAGCAAATATTCCTTTTTTTTTTGCATCATTAGTCGCTGCCGTATTATTTTATTTTGTTTATGTCCCATATGTTTTTGACTTGAAAATAAACATTTTTCATTTGGACTTAAATATATAGGCTAAATGAGATGCTAAATATCATTAAAACGATCACATTGGAATAGAGACATTTATTGTGTACAATGTTTTTGTGATATATGTATATAGCCATATGTAAATGACATTATGTACACGTAATTTACTATCCACATGTACAATGATTTATATGTACACCCGTCCATTTAGGAAAATGATTCATATGTACACACTATAAAACACATCGTCAAAAACCAAATATAATATTTTGGCAAAAACCATAAATCTTAATTTGCATCTTAAAACAAAATCCATTTTTTTGCTTAGAAAATGAAAAATGCTTATTTTAGCTAAAATTGTAAAATACTTCATTTGTTCCCAAAAATGATTTTCTAGGATATTCATGTAAAATCATTCATGTGAATCTGATGTCCATATGTATTGTTGTACATAAGAATGGTAAAAATATTTGTGTACATAGTTTATTGTTGTACATGTGTACTATTATACAATCTGGTGTACATATTTTTTGATACTTCATATTTTTTTGTTCATTTAAGTTATTTAGATGTGTTTTTAGTTTTATTGTATTTCCATAGATGTATTTGTGCTACAAGGGGTTAAAAATATAATTTCTAAAGTATGTGACGAAATTAAGAATCAAATTTCACATTTAAAAAGCATTGAGATTACAAAATAAATAACAAATACGTTTAGGGACCAAATATGCAAAAAACTCCAAATTAACCATTGTTGCTCTAAATCTTATCGTGTTAGTTTCAAAACGTAAGAGAGACAGGAAGGTCACGGCGACGATGTTTCGACGGTGGTGAGAGCTTAGATCACAGCAGCGACATAGACGAATTGCAAATACATAATGAAGATGAGAAGGAAGAATTGCGGTGAAGAAAAAAGAGTTTTAGCAAGGAGAAGAAAGTGTTGTAACGGTGGAAAAAAAGTCCAATGACAGTAACAGACCACGACGGTGTAAGCGCGACGGCCATCACTTACTCTAGATGCGGCGGAAAAATTGGAACAATGTGAAGAAGAAACTTTGATAATTGCTGAATTTTTTTTAATATGTTTTTGTTTCATATGTCTGGTCTCGAGAAAAAGAAAAAGGTGACTAGTTTCCAAAAATTGTGAGACCATATTAACTAGATCAATGACTTTAGTTAACAAAAACTACTTCACTAGTCATAACTGCCTTATAATGATATTAAAAACTTAAAACTGCCTTACAGTGTAATATTTTCTTCTTTCTAGGTGACGGTTTTATATGTTTCAATCTGTTTAAAGTTCAAACGTATATGCATAATGGTTATGTTTTTCTGTTGAATCTGAGTTTGGTTGGATCGATTGACATAAAACTAAACTCGATTTGTGGGTTCTTCGAAGACGTTTAATTGATCAGTATGCGATAATAAACATGATTACAAGGGGATTAAAGAAAAGAAAGAAGGTTGGAGTTTTGTTGAAAATGCCGACGAGAGTACGAAGAGGTTCGCTTGGTCGTCAAACCCTAAACATTGATATCAGTGTCTTTGTGTTTATTTGTGGATCCCCTCTTCGTTTCTTTTTCCTTTCTTTATATAGTTTAAATTTGTAAGCTTTTAATTTTGCCTAAGTTTGTCTGTCCTAACGGTTCGGGCCTAAAGTCAAGTCTTAATGGGTTTCTTTGCCGAGCGTGGGCTTCGTGGGCCGAATCCGATCATTAGATAGGCCTTGTAAAGGGTACCCAGTTCCTTTGCAATAGTATCCAGAGAAGAAAAATACTTACAATTGGTTAAAATATCATGCAACATGACATTATAAGGGTCTTACAAAAGATTTAAGATTAGTTGAACATATATACATTGTTACCAGTGGCGTCTCCAACCCTAATTTTTAGTGGGTCAATTTATGATGTTTAAGTAAAAAATAAATGTTAAAAAAGGGTCAAGATAGAATAGAATTGGATCTTTGTGGGTTCAATAGGTAGACTGAACTACTTATATTATATTCCTTTGTTGTATATTAAGTGTCATAGTGTAATTTTTTTTTATAACATAAGTGTCGTTTTTAGTTTCCAATGTAAAATTTATTAATTTTATTATGCTTTCTATTTTTCTATTGATTAAAATATGATTAGTTGTATATGTACTTGTATTTAATATAGAAAATACACAAAACTTATTGTTTCTTTAATCTGTATGTACAAATATAAAATGACAATTATAATAAAATATAAAGAATATGAATTTTAAGCACAAATCAAACTTTTTCTCAATTTTATGTGCCATACCACTCCTTCCTCAACTGGTCCAGTGGTCCCCTGGTCGACACACTATTAATTTTATATGAATCCATATAAAGAAGTTACTTATAAAGTAACTTAGCATGATGTGGCAATATTCAGAGGCAATAATAGTTTTTATTTTAATTGATTTATTATAATATTACAATTATGAAAATATTATATAGATGATACGACAACCGATAATACTGTCTGCTTGTGATGATCTATACCTAACTGCATCATCTTAGCTGTTCTAAGAGATTCACGTTTGACCGTGTTTACTTGCATCACGCTAAATATCCTTTGTAAATCTTTCGTTCGTAGACTGCATAATTGTTTAATAAATCGATTCACATGGGACTGAAACATGGAATTCATGGTGTAGAAATCTATATAATAATGAGGCAGTTTGCTCTCTCCTGAGATGCCACGTCAGTACTTTTTAATGGGTTCTGATAGGTTTTTTATACTATAAAGCTTATACACGCTGGCTATTAACAACTAGAGTCGATTTGGCCCAGTGGTATAAGCCGCCTAAGTAAAACTTACCTCTGCGAGTATAGGGGTTCGAATCCCCCTAGCTTTCTTATTTTTGGTGGGTTTATATAGATTCTGGCCCAGATAGGTTTCTCTCTCATTTAGCCTATCCACAAGTGCAATTTT